TGCGGAGCAGCTTACAACTCTCAGAAATCAGATTCTGGCCTTCAAGTTGCTTTCCAAGAATCTCACAATACCCCCCCGCGTCCAACAGCAGCTTTTTGCCTCCAAAAAGTCTCAGACTCCTACTCCCTCAGATGGTATCGCAAGCGCAGAGAGCGTCTTAGAAAGCGTGACTCAGGCCAAGTCGGAGCAGCCCACCCCAGATGTAGCACCACAGTCCAAGGATTTCTATGAGACCTCTCAGTCGCCCTATGAGCTCTTCCCTAAGAGTGTCAGCTTCACTGATCATGCTTCTCGCGCCAACCGCCTGCGCATTCCTGCTTTGATGCCACCCGGCATTGACCTGGAGCAGCTGCGTGAGGACCGTGAGATGATCCTCTACAACAAAATCAATGCGCGAAAGGCTGAGCTCGCTGAGCTTCCTGCAAATCTTGGTGTGTGGGACACGAGCAAGAGTGATACACCCAGCGGTGATGACTCGCTGAAGCTTAAGGCACTGATCGAGTACAAGATGCTTCATCTTCTGCCCAAGCAGAGGCTTTTCCGCAAACAGATTCAGAATGAAATGTTCCACTTTGATAATCTCGGCATGACTGCCAATCGATCTAGCCACCGTCGCATGAAGAAGCAGTCCCTTCGTGAAGCCCGAATCACTGAGAAGTTGGAGAAGCAGCAACGCGATGCCCGCGAAACTCGGGAGAAGAAGAAGCAATACGATCAACTACAAGCCATTCTGAACCATGGTGCCGAGTTGCAGAACGCTGCTAACCAGCAGCGCACGCGTATGCAGAAGCTTGGTCGCATGATGCTTCAGCACCACCAGCATATGGAGCGTGAGGAGCAGAAACGTGTCGAACGTACTGCCAAACAACGTCTTCAGGCTCTAAAGGCCAACGATGAAGAGACTTACATGAAGCTTCTGGGACAGGCCAAAGATTCGCGTATCTCTCACCTCCTCAAACAGACCGATGGCTTCCTCAAACAACTTGCTGCCTCTGTCAGGGAGCAGCAACGCAGCCAAGCTGAACGGTATGGGGAAGATGAGCAGCTCTTCGAAGAAGAGGATGAAGAGGATATCGGATCCGATGACGACGAAGAGGGCGGCCGACGGAAGATTGATTACTATGCTGTTGCTCACCGTATCAAGGAAGAGGTTACCGAACAGCCTAAGATTCTTGTTGGCGGTACCCTGAAGGAGTACCAGATGAAGGGTCTGCAGTGGATGATTTCGCTCTACAACAACAACCTGAATGGTATTCTGGCAGACGAGATGGGTCTTGGAAAGACTATTCAAACCATCAGTTTGATCACATACATTATTGAGAAGAAGAAGAACAACGGCCCGTTCTTGGTTATCGTGCCTCTTAGTACTCTGACAAACTGGAATCTGGAGTTCGAAAAGTGGGCGCCAAGTGTCTCCAGGGTTGTCTACAAGGGACCCCCCAATGCGCGCAAACAGCAGCAGCAGCAAATCCGCTGGGGTAATTTCCAAGTCCTGTTGACCACATACGAATACATCATCAAGGACCGCCCAGTCTTGAGCAAGATCAAGTGGACGCACATGATTGTTGACGAAGGGCACCGTATGAAGAACACTCAGTCTAAGCTGAGTAGCACCTTGTCTCAGTACTATACCAGCCGTTATCGTCTGATTTTGACTGGTACGCCCTTGCAAAATAATCTCCCCGAGTTGTGGGCGCTACTTAACTTCGTCTTGCCAAACATCTTCAAATCGGTCAAATCGTTTGATGAGTGGTTCAACACGCCATTTGCAAATACTGGAGGTCAGGACCGCATGGAACTCTCCGAAGAAGAACAGCTGCTGGTCATTCGTCGTTTGCACAAGGTTCTTCGGCCCTTCCTGCTTAGACGTTTGAAGAAAGATGTCGAGAAGGATCTGCCTGATAAGCAAGAACGTGTCATCAAATGTCGCTTTTCTGCTCTGCAAGCGAGGCTGTACAAACAGCTTGTCACGCACAATAAGATGGTTGTCAGTGACGGCAAAGGAGGCAAGACTGGCATGCGTGGTTTGAGCAACATGCTGATGCAGTTGAGAAAATTGTGCAATCATCCATTCGTTTTCGAGCCCGTTGAGGATCAAATGAATCCGGGACGTGGAACCAACGATCTCATTTGGCGAACCGCAGGCAAATTTGAACTTTTGGATAGGATTCTCCCGAAGTTCAGGGCCACGGGTCACCGTGTGTTGATGTTCTTCCAGATGACTCAGATCATGAACATCATGGAGGATTTCCTTCGCCTTCGGGGTATGAAGTACCTTCGTCTTGATGGTTCAACCAAGTCCGATGATCGTTCGGACCTGTTGAAGCTGTTCAATGCGCCGGGCTCCGAGTATTTCTGTTTCTTGCTTTCGACGCGTGCCGGTGGTCTCGGTCTCAACCTGCAGACTGCAGACACTGTCATCATCTTCGATTCAGACTGGAATCCTCACCAAGATTTGCAAGCTCAAGATCGTGCTCACCGTATCGGACAGAAGAACGAGGTTCGCATCCTGCGTCTGATCAGCTCAAATTCAGTTGAGGAGAAAATTCTTGAACGTGCGCAGTTCAAGCTTGACATGGATGGCAAGGTCATTCAGGCTGGAAAGTTCGACAACAAGTCCACAAACGAAGAGCGAGATGCTCTCCTCCGAACGCTTCTCGAAACTGCGGAGGCTGCTGACCAGCTTGGTGAGCAAGACGAAATGGACGACGACGACCTGAACGACATCATGGCTCGCTCTGACGATGAGCTAATCACTTTCCAGCGCATTGACAAGGAACGCCAGAAGAACGATCAATATGGCCCTGGCCATCGGTATCCCCGTCTCATGGGAGAAGACGAGCTCCCGGATATCTACCTTGCCGACGAGAACCCCGTCCAAGAAGAAGTTGACATTGAGGTTACCGGTCGTGGAGCTCGTGAACGCAAAATTACCCGCTACGACGATGGCCTTACCGAAGAACAGTGGCTTATGGCCGTGGATGCCGATGATGACTCGATCGAGAATGCTATCGCCCGAAAGGAAGCGAGAGTCGAGCGTCGCCGCATGAATAAGGAGAAGCGTCAGAAAAGAGCCATGGGCGTTGAGTCGTCGCCAGAGCCATCGCGCGAGAGTTCGGAGACCCCGCAGCCCAAGAAGCGTGGTCGTAGGGGTCCTGCGCCTAAACGCAAGGCGGAGGAGCCCGTTGAGGAAACCCCGCAACCGAAGCGCAAGAGAGGCAGACAACCGAAACCTGTGGAAACCTTGAGTAGCGAGGACCGCGCCACGCTCCAGCGGATCCTCAACACGGCATACCAGACGCTGATGGATATGGAACAAGAGCTGCCAGCGGATTCATCCGACAGCGAGGACGGGCCGGTTACCCGCTCGATCATCGAGCCATTCATGAAGCCACCTCCTAAATCACAATATCCCGACTATTACCTGATCATTCAGAACCCAATCGCCATGGAGATGATCAGGAAGAAGATAAATCGCGAGGAATATCAGAATCTTAGGGACTTCCGGAATGACATCCACCTCCTGTGTCAGAATGCCAGGACCTACAATGAAGATGGAAGCATCCTGTTCCAGGATGCCAACGATATTGAAGTAAGTTTTTCCTCAGCCATTTTACTTGTTTTTGCTTTCATAGGTTGCTGACTGTGAGACAGGCGAAATGTGTCGAAGTGTTGAGGAAAGAAACCGAGGACTACCCACAGTTTGCCGATTTCGACGATTCTCTGTCATCGGCAGGCAATGATGTCTCTGTTGCTCCCGCACTGTCTACAGGGACGCCTGCCGCTGCCACTCCGACGCAACCAAAGTTGAAACTCACGTTCAACAATAGCAACCGGGATAGTGCAGGAATTTCAAATGGCGGCCCTGACTCGGAAGACGCATGATGCCACCCAATGAGGTTCATTTAGGTTTATGACAGGGCATTATTGTCTGCTTTTCACGTCCGCTGAAGTCACAAGCGGAGATATGATTTCCATATTTTCCCCGCCTGATGCTGCCTGCGATTTTCCCCCCTTGACATGTATTCCTCTAGCTTCGAGTTCTTTCATCTTCATATCCCGCTTCTGGGAGGCGTTTCGTGATTTGGTGGCTCGAAATGGACGTTGGTTGATGGCGCAATGCTTTTTTAAATTAAGACGTGAGACTTAGTCTTGTTTATCGTCTCCTTTTCTTATTCTACACCTTGTGTTATGCCATATTGAAATATCTTGAGGGCGGAAATTGTCCTGCTTCAGTGTTTCTCATTTCAGTTTGTTGACTACATCTGCTCTCTGCTAAAGAACAAGGGACTTGTCTTGGAGCACCTCGAGGCATTTCTGCTGTAATTGACGATCAATGAGGGTTGGTAATAAATGGATTTTCCCGCTACTTAACGCTTCTACTCTCATTTGTCGTAGGTAATCCTTCCGATCAGTTACTGCCTCTCGGGCTTCTGGTCGCCTGACTTGTCACTGCCTATTCAGAGCATACCAAGCAGTAGATATTCACTGTTGGACCTGCTCACATGAAGATCCCCCTGTGATTAAGAGGATCCTCGTCTAGTAACTACCCCAGTCAACAATGGCATTGTACTCTCGTATGCACTCGATATTCATGCGTCGTTAGCACTCTACAGGTGGGTCTTTTCCCTTGAGATCGCAGGGACTATGAAGCTCCCGTAATTTATGAATGGCTTGGGTCATTACTGACCTGGTCTGCAAGGGCTTGCTGACATGCTACAACATGCTACAAGGTGCCTTGTGCTTTGTGTAGAGTAAACAAGCTATTCTACCATGATGCCTCGCACTCGACGTCACATAGTCACGTGACACACCGCACCGTCATGCACCATTCTGCGCCCTTCTCTTAACCGCCAGCTCGACCCTTTCGAATCTCTTGAGCTCTGATAACAATCTCCCCTTGCTGTCTCCTCTTTACTTCTTCATCCTTATATTCAGTCCACCTTACTATCACCTTTACTACCTTGTACTTAGCATTAAACCCTTGAAATCCAGCAGAAATGGCTACTTTCCAGGATCGTGCTCAGCACACCATAGCCCAGCTTGACAAGGAGGTAAGTGACTAGTTATTGTGCGTCAGCTTTGTTAGTGTGTTTGGTGATGATAGATCCTGCACGCCTTTCGACTACTTTTACTCCCTCATCCTTCATCCAGTCCTTGCCTTTTCTTTCTTTTCTCCAGGAATCTCTCTGTTTAGAGAGTCCAAAATGCACAGAAAATAAGGACAAGTCACTAACCCTTGATTGTTTGTGTGGTGCTATTATAGCTCTCCAAGTACCCTGTCCTCAACAACCTGGAGCGCCAGACCTCCGTTCCTAAGGTCTATGTCATCCTCGGCCTGGTCGGTATCTACACCTTCCTGGTCTTCTTCAACATCGCTGGCGAGTTCCTCGTCAACTTTGCCGGTTTCCTGATTCCTGGCTACTACTCTCTCAATGCCTTGTTCACCTCTGGCAAGGCAGATGATACTCAGGTGAGTTTTTCCCGCTTAATTGATAGACTGGACAATTGTGGCTGACTGTCTTCTGATCGCTGCAGTGGTTGACGGTATGTGCCTGTGACCGTGAACCCAATCGCACCTTGAAGGCGGAGACGATCTTCCCGCCTCCTGCTAAGGAACAGCCTAGGCTGTTTCATAGCACGTGATGCACCGTCATCAGCAACTGGAGACTGACTTGACCGTGTCAATTATAGTACTGGGTTGTTTACGCCTTCCTGACTGTTATTGAGAGTGCCATCAACGCCGCCTACTGGTTCCGTAAGTTTATGCAATATGGCACTTTCTTCCAATCTTGGAGCTTTTTGCTAATTCGTGAAAACAGCCTTCTACTACATCTTCAAGTTCGTCCTCATTCTGTGGATGTCTCTCCCTCAGACCAAGTACGCTTGCCCCGGTAGATGCGACGACTATGGAAAACATGCTAACTCGTCATCTACAGCGGTGCTCAAGTTGTCTTCCACTCTTTCCTCCAGCCTGTGCTGGGCCGCTTCTTCGCTAGCGGATCTACCTCAGCCAACCTCCGTGCTCAGGCCGATGCCGCCTCCAAGTCGCAGTAAATGCATTGCTAAGAGTCGGTATTAGCATATAGAGTCTGTCGCGGCTTGCGAAGGACAAGCCGCGAAAGAAAACGTCGATTCTTGCCTTTGGCCTGCGCGGCGCAATCCGAAAGTCGAGTTGTCGGAGTGAGCGGAGATAGTGGTGGGTTAAGGTGTCGGGGTCGAGTTAGGAGGGCGGACCCGTGACATTCTACTTCTTGCTTTCACTTGTCATGATTGGAGGAGTAGACTGGTGGAGGTTGCTTTTGTTGAAAAAGGACAGGATATGGCTATACTTATCCTTGGATGAATTATATCTAACGCGACCATGCCTCTTTGGGTAATTGAGCAGCATCTTTAGCCATTCCTCATACCGGTCCTTTGCTTTCATTCGTAAGGTCCAATGCCTTCATGATGATTTTCGCAAAAATGACTCTGAATGTTGTGATGACGTAGGTGATGTACATTTATGCAAAAGAAAAATATCATCCAACCGACTCCGCAACTCCAGGTGCGGCACGACGATCTATTAGGAGAGTCGATCTTGAACCACACAGGTGCCGTAGACCAGCGGATACCTGCATGGAGATCTGGCGATAAGGAAGCCAAGTCGATGCAGTGTCTTAGTACAAGCCGAACCGGTTCTGCCAGCCGTCCGAGCGGGGATTCAGAACGATTCGATAGGGGAAGGGATTAGAGTCGCTGGTGGTGATCGGCGGAATGTGATCTTTATCCCGGTTGACGACGGCGAGGATCTTCAGCGCCGCCTTTTGGAGCATGTTCTCCATAGCCTTGCGGACTTTGGCGCGTTCTGGACGGGAATAATCAGCCTATACTCCCTCTTCCTGTAGCAGCGGCATCGGGTTTATAAGTAGATACCTGATTCCGTCCGCGGCGTGGCGATCGTCACGTCTAGATTCCACACCTCCCAGCATACTTCTTCTTCTCCCTTGCCCGCTAGCCCGCTGAACCACGCCCCGGAGCGTTTGCGCTTCTTCTCGTAGAACTCGACCGCGATGCGACCGCGTACGCCGCCGCCGCCTTCATGGGTACTGGTAGCGGAGGTATGTTGGCGGACCAGGGCGCTGATGCGGGATTCGATCAGGGTTTCGAGCTCGACATCGTCAATGGCGGGGAGGGTGAAGTCAAGGACGTCGAAGGTTGTCGGTCGAATTGATGGGAAGTAACGGTGGAAGAAGATGAGGTTGAGGACGCCTGGTTTGGACGGAGTGATGTCAGCTGAGCGCTTCGCAGGAGTGTCGTCAAGGGCAATTCGCGACAACACGACTGCTGTCAATAGGGGATAGCGAATATATATGATAACATGGCAAGCCGATATCAATGATCCACAAACCTTTTAAAACATCCCTCACGGTGGTTGTGTCTGCGAAGATCTCCAGGAAGTACTCTGGAGGGGTCCTGCGGGGCTCCATCCTCGCAGGGGTTGTACGGTATCAAGGAGAGATATGTCTTAGCACTACCGACACTGCCCTGCCTCTTTGCTGCGAAAGGGAGCAAGCAATAAGCATAAAGATATGGATGAATGAGCCAGGTATGACGGCAAGCTGTTAAGCCTGTACCACGGAGACCAGTCCCGATTCAATGACTTGGACGTGGGGGAAAGAAGGGAAGGTGGATGGCGGTATGAGAGGGGGTAAGACTAAGGTAGGTGAAAGGTAGCTATTTGCAGTTGAGTCTTTCAGGAACACGATAAGCTGAGGTCGAATGACTTTGAGAGGAAAATACGCATGATGTGCATGAGAGCAGAGTGACTGCAGACGTCTAAGAAGGGATGGAGGAGGATCAAAGAGGCAAAGCGACATCTGTACCCCAAGGTACAGTCCAGTCCATACAGACAACGAAGGCTATCTATGGAGCCGTAGAGAGCGATCCCCGCCGAAACAATGCGGGCAACGGATTACTGAAGAATCAGATACTATGATTGTCTCTGGATAGCTGAGATGTAGAAATTATCTTACTAACTGATGGAGTAATGTAGCAAGGTATATGAATCCCAATGCAATTATGACCTAGATGAGGATCGTCGTCGACTCATCCATTCTTGACCTGGTCCGGCGCTGTTCACAGGTGTCGGCCGTTACAGTTATCGCTCGCTCACTCTAGCCGAGGCCTGCTCTTGGGTTCCCAAACCAACAGCTCCTGTGTCTCTGTTGCTCCAACTTACAACTATTAAGACACCATTTTGATTGAATTTTTCTGCTTCCTTTCAATCTCATGATATGTAATGAATTATTTTGAATGATTTGACTTTCATTGCTCTTCCATTTCTAGCTCTATCATGATTGGAGCTACTAGGCGCTGGTTCCGACGCAATCGCAAAGGTCTCGCGATCGGGGCTGGCATTATTGGAGCTGGCTATCTCGCAGGACAATATGTGCTTTCTAAAATCACAGAAGCCCGGGAGCGGATGAGCAGCGATCGAATCGCCCGAGAAAAGTATGTTACCTTTAGATTCACCTTGGTCTTTTGGCGAAATGAGATGGACAAAAATCCATCCGCTCGCGTGCTCGGCTTTGATGACTGACGTGATGGTGACTGACTGATCTGTCTAGTTTACGGCGACGTTTTGAACAAAATCAGACGGACTGTACCTATACTGTGCTGGCGCTCTTACCGACCGCGGCGGAAGGTATCCTCGAAGCCCTTCCTGTGGAGGAATTGACGAAAGAATTGCAGAAGAAGCGGGCGGAGAGATTGGCTCGGCTCCAGGCTGGGGAGGGGACTGTGTCGGACCTAAGCTCGGTGTCACCGAGTGCAGCCGATGATGATCGAAGAAGCCTCTCAAGCTTCCAGAGCGATGGGTTTGTCCGTACAAGTCAATTAGGAGAACCATCCTTTGATGGCGAAGGGCCGGCACGGGTAAAGCGGAACAAGACTCAACTCTGGAACGAGGTCAAGATCACTTGTACGTTGCCTTTAGTCCTATAAGACTGCTAAGATGGGCTAGCTAACGTCGCAACTGCAGCTGTCACCAGATCGTTTACTCTCATCTACACCTTGTCCTTACTAACCATTTTCACCCGAATCCAACTCAACCTGCTTGGTCGCCGAAATTATCTATCCAGCGTGATCTCCCTGGCTACTCCTCCGGCAGATGCCTCCACGATCAAACTTGAGGACCATGATGACGACCTGACTCAGACCTTGGGAAATGATTTCGAGACAAACCGACGGTATCTTGCATTCAGCTGGTGGTTGCTCCATCGTGGCTGGAAGGACCTGATGAACGAGGTACAGGCTGCGGTCGCGGATGCGTTTGGCTCTTTGAACCCTCGGGAAGATATTTCCGTGGGGAGGCTGTCGGAATTGACTCTTGACATCCGCAAGAAGGTGGAAGGCAACACTCCGGAGGAGAGAAGGTATGTCCGGCCACAGTTTCGCCATAAGATAAAGGTTCCTGTGCTGACTTATAGGTATAGAAGCCGAAGATGGCTGCCCTATCTGCTCCCTCCTCGTGAAGAGGAGGAGCATTTGTTGGAGGAGTCGGGAGTTGCGGGGGTGACTGAACCCTCGACCTCTCAGTCAGCTTCGACTCTGCGACACCTTCTCGATGAGACGGCCGACCTGATAGAATCGCCAACCTTTGGTCGCGTCCTGCAAGGCCTCAACGATGAATGCTTTGACTTACTGATGCAAAATTGCATCAAGGAAGCATTCCAGTCGTCGCCACAAGCGTCTGAAAGCGTACCGCAATCATTCACCTCGGTTGCCACAGTTGTCCCACAGGTGAAGACAGCGGATCTCAAGACGAAGCTCGCGAATGTACTGGCTGTGATGGCGCGGCAGGCGCATGTTATTGGCAACGGCACAAATCCGCCAAACATCTATCTTACCGCCATGGATCAGAATGTCCGGAATCTGGAGGCCTTCGCAGCCGTCATCTACAGCTCGAACTTTGACTTCCAGCCGCCGGGCGCGGAGCAGAAAGCGGAACAAGTCACTGCCGAGAGGGATCGCCCTGATACGTCTTCCACGGCCCCGGTGATGGTGAACAAGGATGATACCCAAGATTTTAACCAAGCTGGCTCAAGCGCAGTAGCTGAGGACAACTCGGCTTTCGAGAAGGCATGGGGTAAGGCAGTGGAGGATGGGTCGAGCGAGTGAGCTGCTTCAATTCTAGAGGACAGCTTGGCTTCTCGACTACCAATTTGTCCCTCACCTAGTCTTCGATGGTTCCTTCTCAGCTTATGTATTTCGCATAGCGTCAATCCTGGAGATTTCAAGCTGTGCTGATTGTATGATTACCGACTGATATCAGTCCAGAATACCTGGCGAGGGTTTTCAGATGCTTGTCGTTTTCTAGTACCTGCGTAGATTGTGCATGTCCACTAGACTGGCCATCGACCATCGAGTTCTCCCGTGGTCAACGGGACTAGCATTGCAAGTTGACAGAATGACTCTTTTGCGAGTCGTTAATCCATCACCGCAATACCAATAATATCCGCCAACCGGATACTCTGCGGAATTGGATGCTATTTAAATGATCTAGTTTGGTCAATGATCCAAGCAATAATATCAGGATGGGTGCAATGCAGGTCCATCTAGTAGATGCTCCTAGGAACCAAATGATAGACTTTTAAACATGGTTCATGGTTTATTCCATGAAAGGACTGGCTAAACGGTATTCACCATTCTACAAGAGGACAGGAATGCGGAGATGATTCAAAGTCCAAACAGAAGAAAGCTTGGCCGGGGAAATCTGCGGGGAATCGCTCGGCGCTGAGGATCGGAGATTCGTCAATTGACCGACATGCTCGTGATATTACTACCTAGTACTAAGTAGCACTACTAGTGGTAGTCGGTCTATTCGTCTATTAATTGAATTATTACGTGAGGCCTTCGCAAATAATAAGCACTATCTCCGCATCGGCGACCGTATCCACCCATCGACTCTCCTGGGCTGCTTGCTATGACTCCTTAACGTTGGGGTACAGTAACCTCGGCCTTGTCCGATCCCCAAAAGAGGTATCGCATAGGTTGTTCAGTCGCCGAAGATCCCTTTGTTTGTAGACTAGGATCGGAGAATAGTTGAGTTAGTAGATATGATCTGACAAATAGAAAGGCCTGAGTCACTGCTAATTGTCCCTGACTCGCCACGGCTGCCCAAGGTCACACCGTGCGTGCTTAGTGAGAAATAAGAACGCATTCTCTTCTGCGCAGCATCTGTTTCTTGCTCTCTTCCCCTTCTGCCGTGTCAATCCTCAGTATCAGCCTTCGCCAAGGGGGACAGAAATAATTGCGCCCTGAAATCATTAATTATGGCGTTAAAAGGTGTGTCTCCTCGGTAATCGTTCTCTACATTTACAAGACATCACTCCCTAGAGAAATTGACAGCTAACCCCTCATCGCATACATAGGCGTCTCCGAAACAGACAATGGCAAAGCCGAGGGCGAGATCTATAGCGAGTCTGCAGACCTCCCTCCGCTCACCACCACCACGGAGCGCAAGCTGATGGCCAAGATTGACTGGCATATCGTGCCGTGCCTCTGTGTCATGTACTTGCTCGCCTTTCTCGACCGGTATGCAATCCTCAAAACCCCTAGTTCCGTGCATGAACTGAGCTCTGTAATGCGCCATCACAGAGTCAACATCAGCAATGCCGCGATTCTCGGGCTGCAGACAGATCTAAATATCGAAAATACCAAGTACAACACTGCTTTGACCATCTTCTTCGTACCGTACGTCCTGTTTGAGATTCCGTCCAACATATTGCTGAAGAAGCTGAAGCCCCATGTATGGTGTATGTACTCCGTCTTTCTGCGATAGGGAGCAGACTGCTGACATTACCGCAGTATCATTATGTATGTTCTTATTTGGCTTTGTGACGATCTGTCAAGGATTGGTTTCGAGCTGGGGTGGCTTGATGACCACCCGCTGGTTTCTTGGTATTTACCACCCTAACACAAGATGTAGAGATGAGTCCCGGTTGAATGAGAACTAATGTACATGAGCTAGGCATGTTTGAGACGGGAATGTTCCCTGGGTGTAAGTCTGTTTCCTCAGAAAACGATTGGCCCAGTCAATAACCAATCGCGACGTGGCAGGCTTCTATCTGCTAGGAATGTGGTATAAGCGCAGCGAGGCCCAGAAACGATTCAGCTTCTTCTTCAGCTCTACCACCCTAGCAGGCGCATTCGGTGGTCTTCTCGCCAGTGGTCTTGGAGAAATGGCCGGGCTTCGTGGCTACAATGGCTGGCGATGGGTCTTCATCATCGAAGGCGTCCTCACCTGTGTTGTTTCGCTTGTGTGGTTCTTCGTGCTTCCAGACTTCCCGGAAGACGTCAAGTGGCTGAATGACGAAGAGCGAGAGTTCATTCGTGCGAAGCTTGCAAAGGACGTCGGCGCCGCTGGCAGAGATGTCAAGCTGACCGTGCGCGATGTGTTGGCAGTCTTTAAGGACTGTGAGTGGCGCGCCAGCCTTCGGGTTTCGATTTTCGCTGACTCCTTCTTAGATAAGATCTTCATTGGCGGCTTGATGTACTTTGGCCAGATTGTCACGGCATACGGTGAGCACGACTCAACATGGCTCTTTAATGAGTTCCTTTCTTAACAGCGGGCAGGATATGCGTATTTCGCCCCCACCATCATCAAAACTTATGGCTACTCTTGTAGGTGTCTGGCACTTCCGCGAGTATCGGCCCTGCTGACTGTCTGTGCCAGCGATCAAAACCCAACTCTACTCGGTGGCCCCATGGGCAGCCGCGTTCGGCTTCTCCATGTTGATTGCGACCCTTTCTGATAAGTTCAGGCACCGCTACATTTTTGCTATGATTCCCATGTTGATTGCCATGGGCGGCTTTGGGATCCTGCTGAATGTTCACGGCGTGGCTCACCGGAATGTCCAGTATGGGGCGCTCTTCATGGTGACCGGTGGTTGCTACAGCTCAATGGCCGTCGTCGTATGTTGGTACGCCATGAACCTGAGTGGACACCGTCGTCGGGGCGTGGGAACAGCATGGCAGATCGGATTCGGTAACAGTAAGTTGCAATTTCTGCAATGCCTTTGGGCACGCAAGAGGGTTGATAGCTGACAAGCATAACCAGTTGGCGGTATCATTGCTACCTATTCCTTCCTGGCGAAGGACGCACCGCTGTACCGAAATGGGTATATCATCAGTCTTTCCTTCCTCTGCTTCTCCGCAGCATGCTGTACCGCTTATCTTGCAGCGGTCTGGTACGACAACCGGAAGCGTGATCGCGCCATGGCTAACGGTGCTACCGTTGAGCTTACGGTGGAGGAGCAAGAGCAGCTGGGCGATCTTGCGCCCAATTACCGCTATACTTATTGATATATTCGATATATTGTGAAGATATTTGAAGATAGGGTTAGGGCTTCCTATCAGCGCTTGCATGGAGCCACGGACGTTTTGAATATCTTTTTGGATAGACTAATATTTACGTCATGACATGAACTCAAAACATGAACCATACGCTATGATCAATGTCAGTTCGCTACTACACATCGTCTTCAAAGGCAATGGTTTCAGTTAGTGTAGATATACTCAAAAGGTAGACTCAGCAAAAGTAATAGACTTGTCTTTAACAAGTGGTCGAGTACCACCTATCTAAGCGTTGACTACCTCCCCAATGGTAAACAGATCCGGCTGACGTAATATTAGCTCGGTAAAGAGAGCCACCTGAGTGCATCCTTGACGAGCCAATCAGAGGGACCGTACCACTAGCGAGCCCTTAGTGGCATATTCTGCTGAGTCAGCCACAGCGCACACAAAGAGCTGCTCCGCCGCAGCTCTCCATCCTTCTTGCAACCATCTTCTCATCCTCGCAGCAGTGTGAGTATTAACCCCCCTCGCCTTCAAGACTTTCATCTTCAGGCAATTGACTGACCAGCTTCAGTCTCGAACCATCTACGAAGATGAGAGCCAAGTGGAGAAAGAAGCGCGTTCGTCGCCTTAAGCGTAAGAGAAGAAAGATGAGAGCCAGATCGTGAGTTTACCCCTTCATCACCATCACCAATCGAAGCGATTGGAAGTCAATCGGATCCGACATGATGCTAATGGCCTCCGCAGGAAATAAACGTCTCGCCCACTCCATCTCGGTTCTTCATGTCGATGCTCAAGTTGAACGCCGACCATGATATTCCGACGACGTTACGATGATGATTCCTTGTTATGATCGTTCCGTGGTCCAGCCGCTCCAATGGGTACCTGTCTGGTCCGATTTCCTAGGAAAAGTTGTTTTACAAGTTGAATTACCTATATTCGAATTCGGAGTCCGCAGTTCAACGGCCTGCTTCCATCCTCCTCGGGCTCACTTTAAAGTTTTCGACAACCTTTTCTCTTGATCAGACAGTGTGGGATACGCATATCCGTGTCCTTATTTTCTCGGAGAGGCGACTGTGTTCGGTGGAGGTTGGAGAGGTCGGTGGGAAAGTTTGAAGAAAAAGTGATCCTTCATTTTTATTCATCCCTGTACTGTGTTTATTCACCGAACCTTTTGGGTGTCGCATGAGAGCCGGTCAATTGCTCGCTTCTTAGTTCGGGTCTTGCTCTCTAGTGAGACCTTGAGCCATGGAGAGGTGTCCCTCGAGAGTTTATTAAAAATGAAATGGCAAAAGTTACGATGACAACAGAACTTGCATTCAGTATCGTAGATCCTAATTGAGAGGTTTCTAATCCGCAGAAGAGTAGTCATCGCGGTAATATTAATGATGATGAAGCATAACGGACATGTACCAATTGGCCCGTGCTCTGGTTTGCTTGTCCAATAACGAGCATCTCCGCCTTTGAGTGCGGAGAACCAAAATTTGGACCCGGCAATTTTTTTCCTTCGAAAGAACATTTCAGCCAACATAGCTAAGCTACAACACCACGCCATTCAGCAATATCTCTTTTTATTCTCTTTTATCCTCGCCAAAGGATCAATATGCCATCGGATAAAGTCGACAAAAAGCGCAAGCGCGACTCTGATCGCCATGAACGTCCCAGCAAGAAGCCCGCGCTCGAGCTCCAGGACCTACCACCGCTGTCGGCCAGTGTAGTAGAGGAGCATAGCGAGCTGGCTCCTGTGATAAGTATGGATGATATGAATCTGCTGTACTACGCACAAATCGATTGACAGGCTGCACAGTCACCACCCCCGGCGT